TTTAAGAGCACCCGCACCAATGCGTTGCTTTCGGGCTGCTAGTTTGACAACCGTAGCCATTGCTATTTTAGTTAGCAACTTTTTTACGCACCTGTCATTGCTATCACGATTGTGAATTTACGTTTTCGGCTTTCCCACCGATAGTTGCTAAACTTATCGTCGAGCTTCGAACTGAAATTAATCCCAGAGTTTCGTGGTTGTTTTTTCGACAATATTGATATACCTAACCACGAAAACTGAAGATTGAAGGTTAAGACCCAACTACAAACCCAGGTACTAAAGAAACGGTCATCCGGAAGATCCGAATAGTCCAGAGATTTTTTTTTAAATCACTTGTTGTGATGCTACATGAATGAATTTGAATCTGTGGCCAGCATGCGCACACTGGTGGTCACGAAACTCTCCTCTAGGCGATCCGGAACATCCATAAAAGTGGTCAATTCGTAAAAAATAATCGAAATATCGATATTCGTATGCTCCTCTTATAAAAATTGCGCATCAAAATGCATAAAGGCATTTTCGGATGCCCATCTGGATTACAAGATTACATATTTTAGTTTGTGAATGTATCAAGATCGGTTGGTCGAATTTAATACGGTAGGTCTATTAACATCAGAAAAACCTTAAAGAAGTTCTAATTGATAGAAATGTGGGGAAGTTAAAAGATCTTTAAGAGTAAGTTTCGACAGCTCCAGGCTCGACTCCAGGGCAATCTAATAGATTTCAGGAAAATTTACTTCAGTGTAGATCAAGAGCTTCAGGACAGTTCCATTAAATTCAGGAAAATTTAAGACTAAGTTACGTGAACTTCGGGTAGGTTCTGAAAATGTTACCGCAGTTCTATGAATATCAGGAAAACTGTGAGAACTTCAAAGACGTTCCTAAGACTTTAGGTTCGTTTCGAGAACTTTATGGCAGTTCCATTTATTTCAGAAAAAGAGAGGAAACCATCAAGAAGTTCCGAAAATTTAAGGATAGAAAAAAAAACTACAGGGAATGAACTTAAAAACATTAAGAAGGCTACACAGAAGATCCATGTTTAAAGATCTTCTGTGTAGTTCCATTAATTTCTGAAAAATTCCAGGAACATCATCAGGAGAACATAAGGGAAGTTCCGTAAACTCAGGAGACAATGAAAAGAAGTACTGAGAATTTCAGGAAGTTCTATAGACAAACTGCGGGAACAAAAGGGAAGTTCCGAAAACTTCTGGAAATTTTGGTGAACTTCAGGCAAACTTCAGGATTTTCAAAGTGGCCTTCAGGAAACTGCAGGAACTTTTAGGAAAATTTGAAAAATTCAGGGATATCCAGAGAACTTTAGAGAAGTCAAAATGATTTCAAAGATGTGGAGATAACTTGAAGAAAATTTACACTTTAAAGAACTTCCAAATATGTACCTCATAGAAGTTGGACTAGAGAGCTTTAGGAAATTTAAGAGATATTAACGGCACTTCCAATAACTTCATAACTTCGTAAAATTCAAGAAATTCCAGACTTTCAGGGAAGTTCAAAGATTTGTATGGGTAAGGTCCGACAAATTCCGGTCATCCATAAACTTCAGAAAAACTTCGAAAATTTGTTTGACAGTTCTATTTAGTTCAGGGTAGTACCAAGAACTTCAAAAGAATTGAGAGTACTTCAGGAATGGAAAAAATAATTAATTAATAAACTAATTTTTGTCAATGCACATATAAACATCAAAAGCTGTAGGCTACAGTGCTGACACCATCAATGGTGGTGGCTTCAGCAACTCTTCTTCATGGCAGAGGATTGAAAAAAATGCAAGAACTTCAGCGACGATCAGATTATGTTCAAGAAAATCGCGAGATCTTTTAAAATGTTCAGAAATCTTCCAGAACGTCTAGAGACCTTCAGAGAAGTATTTAGATTTTTTGGTAATTTCATTATATTTTGGGAAGTTCTCAGAACTTCGTAGATGATTAGAGATCTTCATATCAATTTCATTTATTTAAGGAAAATTGCAGGATATTTCAAGGAATTCAAAGGAATTATGGGATATTCCAATAATTTCATGAATTTTGCGATGCATCAGAAACAATGCAAGGTTTAAAATTTTATAAATATGATTAAAATTCCCGGAACAATAGAATAATAAATGAACTTCAGGAAAGATTCAAAACCTCAGGATGTTCAAAATCTTCCAGAGAACCACACCGCTACCTGATTGCATATGCTAGTGCTAGATCCTAATTCATACATGTAGCTTCAGAATAAGTGAATCGTGAAGCTTTTGAATCTCTTTTATCACTTTTACGCATGGTTTGGACCTCCCGAAAGGCCGGGTTGTGGCCAGCAGAGTTCGCATGCTGGTCCCAGACCCAAATTCATTAATGGAGCATCAAATTAAGTGATTTAAAAAAATACGGAACTCTAGTATCTTTTCTACGAATTGGCCCCATCTACGAATGTTCCGGTTCTTTTGAAGGACCGTTCCATGGCCACCAGAGTGCACATACTGGTTTCAAATCCAAATTCATTCATGCAGCATAACAACAAATTGTTTAAAAAAATCTAGATACCTTTTTTACTGATTTTCCACATGTACGGATGTTCCGGGTCTTCCTGAGGAATGCTTTGCTGTCTCTTGGATCCACATTTTTTGTCCCAGATCCAATTTCATTCATATATTCACCGAGAGGCAGATTTTTATTTCCCACACTTGAAAAGCAACCCCCAGCGCGGTTACTGCGTTATGGTGGAGGTTGCTAAAATAACTTTAGCAACGCATTGATGCGGGTGCTCTAAGGGATACAAAAAAAAAAACTGTTTTTGGTCCTCAAATTGGCTAGAATGCACTTAAGTATAATGTTTTTTTATATGAAATCGGGCTAAATTTTTAGAGGAATCCAATTCCGTGTCCAGAATTCATATGTAAACCGATTTAAAAAGTTAAGTATAAGCATTTAAGTGGAAATAAGAGGTACGTTAGAAATAAATTACAGATTCGTAAAGAACGCATTTGGTACATCACATTTTCGTAGAAATCTGGTCGAAGCTTTGAGGTACGTTCAAAATCCTTGAAGGTACGCTATGATACACTATTGATACATTCCAAAACACATATCAACTTTGAAATTTGTAAAGTTTGTCCCGCTGGATAGATTGACGTGTCAAAATCGAATCAGTTTTTACTGTTATTTCAAGAACTTAATAATAATTTCATGATTATAAGACATGTCTAGAGTTTTTATCTATTACCTATTCAAAACAAACAATTACCTTATCTAAACAATCAAAATAATTACCATGGATTTACTATTGAATCATTTTAGCTTAATTTTCAACTTCTACGTGTTTTTCAAACCATTTGAAATTAATTAATTGATCAATTTAGGTTGAATATCAAGGCATTCAGGAAATTCCAGTGTACAAAGATTTGATTCACTTCCATATCAACCGATTCAAAATGAGTACAACACAGCCTGGCACTACCGGGAATTGCCGTTTCGGAATCCATTTCGCAAAATGTTCACCACGCGCGGCGTTGGAAGCGATCCTTCGGGAAGCATAATAAGCTTTGTTTTACCGCAAAAATTCGCGTAACATCGCATTTCAACTGCTTACGAGAAACAAAAAAAAAAAACGAACAACTAGGTACTGTTGTTACAAGAGCATCATGCACTGATTTGCTTTGTATACCAACTTGACACCGAGGGGAGACTACGATGTGCCTTCGTTAGACCTAGCTTTTCAGTATACTCTCATTATTAAAATTAAAACATTACAGTACTCCAGCTAAATAAAAGACATGGCCAAGAAATCATAAAAAGTACGACGGTAAATTCACAATGGACCTCGGCAGAAGCCCCTCTCAAACAGCAGCATCATGGGCCTGTGAAAACATTTCCCCCTTGGGACCACCCAAAATCGATCCTATCTCAGCCATTCCACGACAGTGCATCATTTGACCAGTGCCAACAACGCACAGCAGGAAAAGCCCCAAAGTGTGGAAGGAAAATCAAATTAAAACCACAGAACCCACACCCGATTATTTACAGCAATTTCAGTTGAACCCGCAGACAATTTCCCCCTGCTGGCTCATCCTCACCACACGCCCACCCATTATATTTGCATATGAGTGGAAATGTGGTAGCCTGAAACCGATAGAGAGCCCATACATGATTCGATATTCCCCAAAACCACATCAAGGGAGTATATCTCTAAACTCACACACACACTCTAAATTCGGTGATGTGCAAGTTTATCGGCACACCGCACTGAAGTTGTCCCTCTCGGCGTGGCCCATACCCGTGCATATTCCCCGCATCCTAGTTTTGGAATTTCGGATGAAAATGGATCCACAAACTTCACACGCAGAATGCACTCTTGTTCTCCTGCCCTCGAATAAAACTGGGAGTAGAGACACCGAGAGAGAGACTAGCGAAATGGACCGATTGTCCGTCCATCCGATGAAGCTGGCTAATGACCATAATGGGCAGCACAGCCATCAGGCAGGTGGGCAGACCAGACCTTCATCGTCGGCGACGGTCGTGGTTTGGTTGTTCAACCAGCATGCTTGGCCTGCCTGCATGTGGATACACAAGTGGAATATCAGGAGACACTCTTTTCTACACCACTGCTTAACGATATTTGATTGTCTAATTTGTATGCAAATTGAGAGTGCTACTCTTCTCGCCTCGGATCATATTTTTTGGTCCATGGCCATTTCGTGCGCAGTGCGATTGGGAGTGTGAATAAATAAAAAACCTAACCGGTTGAAATTCTTTCATTATCATGAGAGAGTATACACGTCGCGTGCAAACGGATTAATATACCTGACATGAATAACTGAAATTTGCTCAGAGGATGCTTTAAATAACAGATACGAATTTTACAATTTCAGGCAAGCTCATATTTACTGAATATCTGCGAATGCCAGCAGAAGGTGTGATATATTTTCCAAAAAAATACTATAAATTAACTTCATTGCTGCTGACCCTAACTGAAAGTCCAACTTTTCCCCTTTCTCTCTCTTTCAGGGTTAAAATTTTCATCAGTTGCTATAAATTATCATAATGCAAAATGGAGCTATCAACGATGGGAGGTCGTCGTCTGACCTCTCAGCAATTACAGCAACTACAACAGTCACAGCAACAACAGCAGCCAGACCAACAGTTCCAACCGTTTCAACAGCAGCAACACCCAACGCAAGCAATGTTATTCCAACACCAGCAGCATCCCGGCCAGCAAATGCCACCTACCCCGACGATGGGTCTAGGTGGAGGAATGAACCCATTGCACCGATCCGCTACCCGATTTCATACCTCACGGCACCGGAAGGATTCGCTGGGGAAGAGTGTTAGCAAGTACATGTATCCACCCGGGTCGCCCTCGATGGGGTTCAGCGAAAATATCTACCATCCCCAGACGGCGACCAACAACGGCAACAGCAACAATATGAATATGGCCAACAGTAAGCACAACCGCTACCCGGAGCCGGATCCGGATGTAATAGAAGTCTACCTGGAGGATGACCCGATCAAACTGAAAGAAGCGGTGCGCGATGGAAAGGAGGTAAGTGTGTACAGAAGAGTATTTCAGTAAATTTATGATAGGTAATGGTACAACCCCAGTCTCATGTTCATTCGGAAATGTCATCTTACTATACCTATAGGTCGACGTTTCATTAACCACCTTGAAATTTTGTTGTTTCATGCATTCTTGTTATCCATGCAGTCAAAAACCCGAAGAACTGTTCACTTAGACGGTTTCAATGCGCTGCCCTTGAAGAATGCTTTAAAGATTTGATAAAACTTTCATAGCGGTAAACTCCATCGAAGATAATAAAGCTCGATTCAAAGTAAATCTGGACGTACGGTTTAATACACCACCGCGCCCCTGGTGGTTAGAACAAAAAACGTTTGACAGGCATTTGTTGATGTTTCATTGACGAAGAAATTGGTGAAAAGTTTTTCTCGATTGATCGACGCATCCCGAAATTACGGATCATGGAACATGAAAAAAGAAAATTAATTGTGCACAAACACCTAGAGAACCCTTCGTGGTCTGCCTCAAAAATAGCAAAAGTGTTAAAACTCCCAAAGTCAGCGCGTCTATCATAAAAGTGGCACTAGGGACAAAGAGCTGAGGAGAAAGGTGTTGAGGTACGTGAAAAGCAGCCCAGGTGTCTCCATACGTGATTTGGCATAGAAATACGAAACTTTGGCATAGAAATACGAATATAGAAACTTTTCCACCGTGCGTAACATCCTTTCAAGAGAAGGATATAAGTCTTTTTCTGTCAGTAAACATCCGAATCGCTCCCTGAAACAAAAGTTAGTGGCCAAAAAGCGAGCACGATTATTTACTATACGAACGATTTTTGGCGAAATTTGATGGCTGTATTTTAATGGATGACGAAACATATGTCAAAATGGATTATAAACAAATCCCCGGACGAAAATTTTACCTGTCAACTGGTCGTGTGGAGATCAGCGTTGCCAGATATACCGAGTTATCGGTATTTATACCGATTTCCGAACTAGATACCGATACACAGATAAGTTTTCTCAGAAAACCGATTTTTAAATTGTATACCGATTATACCTTTTTTAATGATCAAAATTATTATTGCTCACCCACGCTCGAATTTCGAAGAAAATTACTGTGAGAGACTTGTATCTTTTTTAATTAACTCAATTTTTGAGCCCTCAAAATTCTTTATAAAAAATCATCTTTGAAAATGTCATATGCTTGATACTCTTTTGACTAATGTTTCCATTTCTTCACCGTTTTTGGCTACCCATGAATCACGAAACTGTCGATGTCTCTTTCCGGTTATTCCTAGAGAATTGCGAAATACTTTAAACATTATTTAACTTCCTAAAGTTTTTGTTCATTTTTTACTTTCTGAATTTTCTTTCAATTTTCACTTGGAATTTTCTCCCCCCGTACACTAAAGCTTATTTTTCGATTCCTCCCGAAAACTTATTTCAACTTTCCTACGAAGCTGCTTTAACCATCGCTTGAAAGGTTCTTCCGTCTTCCAACTTCCCCTGAACTTCAGGGATGTTTCCAGATTTTTATTGCAGATTAAAACTAGCTGCAGGAACTTTTAAGAAGTTCTGAAACTTCAGAAAAGTCTAGACTTTTGAGTAAATTCCGAACAACTAAAGATAGTTTCATTAACTTCTGTTCAAATTCAAAAACCCAAAAATTTCAGGAAAGTCCAGCAAAATCCAGTGAACTTACGAAAACATCAGACATATTTTGGAGACTTCGCAAGTTCAAAGAACTTCAGGGAAATTTAATGGTTTTCAGAACAGTTCCAGTTGTTTGAGAGAATTGAGAGAACTTTAGGGAAGCTCTGTGAACATCAGGACAGATCAATAAATTTCAAGGAAATGCTGATATTTTAAAGGATTTCCGAAAAACTCAGGCAATGTTCCACAAATTTAGAAAACGTAAGGGAAGTTGCATAAACATAAGAACATTGCGAGAACATTTTATGGGAAATTTTGTGCTTTTTAATGGTAGTGTCAAGAATTAAAATTTTAAAAATCGGGACTATCAGAGGTCTTTAATGCTAATGATACAATAAATTCAAGAAAATTGGGAGAGAACTTAAAATAATTCATAATCTTCAATAAAGTTCAAAGATGGTTATAGAGATTCAGGTAGCCTCATTATAATCAGGGAAGTTCCGAGTACTTGGAGGACGATCAGAGAACTCTAAAACAACCCCATTATTAACTTCAAGAAAATTACAACAACTTTTAAGGAATTCCGTGGAATTATGGAATATTCCTAAGTGAATTTCAGGAGTGTTCCAAAAATTTCAGGGGGATTGGGAGGTCTTCAGAGATGTTTTATGAATATCAGGAAAACTTGCTGGATCATTAGAACATCCCCCAGGCGCTCTGGCTTCCAAATTCTCCAGAAGTTTCTTGCAATCTACCTTAGGAAGTGTCTGCCAGCGTCTCCAGAAAGTTTCTTCAGTCTTCTTCTGAAAGTGTGTCCATAAGCCATAGGTTTTCGAATTTTTTGGGAAGGTTTTTCCAAACTTCTTCTGGCTTCCCCTAGAACTGGTTACATCTGGAATTTGCTTCCATTTTCCGAAAATTTTCTGGCTTCCTTTTGATGTGACATCCGATTTTTTTTTTCGATAGTTTCTTTGAATATTCACTATAAGTTTCTCAATTTTTGTCTTGGTAATTCCCGGATGTTTCTCCAACTTTTCTTAGAATTTTCCTCAAATTTCGTCCAGAAGAGTTTCTTTCTTCTTTCTCTAGATGTTTTTTTCAGAAGCTAATTCAAGCACTCCCGGAGTTTTCTTTCAGAATTTTTCGATCATAGTCCAGAAGTTAAAATTTTCGCTTTCAAAAACAGCTAAAATATAGAATAAATGAAAATAGTGAATACCGATAAATACTGATATTTTGAAACCTTTGATACCGATAAACTTTCAATCAATCTGGCAACGCTGGTGGCGATGTCCCTTTCAGGTATAAATTTGTTTTTGCTGATGAGTTTGCTCGGAAACTAATGATTTGGCAAGGAATCTGCAGTTGCTTAAAACCAAGGTTTTCATCACATCTCACACAATGACGTCGAAGGTTTACATTAAAGAGTGGCTGAAAAAGCTGATTTTACCCTTCATTCGGCAACACAAGACATGTTTTTGGCCGGATCTAGCCAGCTGCCACTACTCTAAGGAGGTACTAGAATGGTATGCTGCAAACAATGTTAATTTCGTCACCAAAGAGATTAATCCTCCGAATTGCCCTGAGTTCAGACCGATCGAAAAATATTGGGCAATTGTCAAGCGAAAACTTCGAGGATGCGGTAAAGAAGTGACAAATGCACAACAAATGCGTTTAAAGTGGAATAAGTTCGCCGGTACAGTGTCACCAGCGACTGTGCAGATCGTGATGGCATCGATCACAAGTAAAGTGCGACAGTTCATTCGAAACGGTGAAATGTAATAACTTGTTATATATCGTTTGAAAGCTGAATACCCTTTTGTTTGACATTTTGATCAACCGTGTATGTTGTTTAATTCTTGAGTTATGATCACTTGAATGCGTCCAAATTTACTTTGAATCGGGCTCTACGCGAATCTCGAATCATCCTCGGCGCCATGCCGTATTATGTTTAATTTTAATCCCAGATTAAACTTTAATACCCCGATTACGGCGTAATAGAGAAAATCCGGAATTGTCAAAAAGTACTCAGCCAAGCAAAACCTGCTCCGAACGCTCTCACGCACACTATTTACATAAGCAACAAATCTCGCATCACTTTTCAATAGGTCCTAAGCAAGCTTGCAAATGCTAATTACAGCTAAAATGCTATGTTTTGGATTTATGAAGCTATGAAATATTTTATTGATAATTCTTATTTACAAGATGCAAGAACAGAAGGTAAAGTGTGTGTATGACACATAAAACATGTCAATTTAGCTTTCAGAGGGTCACAATAGCGATTAGCTGTAACGATGAGCAACGCGTTGAGCGAGCAATCATATACAAACTTTACCACCTCTTCTTGCATCTTACAAATAAAACCTATCATTATAGTATCCCAATGTTTCATAATAACGAAAAATAGCATTTTAGCTAAATGAGAAATTGCAAGCCTGGTCTTAAGTAACAAATGTAAACAAATCGAACTAAGCTATACAAACTTTTGCTCTTGTACATACAATGTGATTCAAAAACACCCATCCAAATTTACTTTCATTTATTTAAGATAATCATTGGTCAAAAATTGTCCAATGTACAGTTTGAAATGATGGGTACATGATTGTTACTTCGGTCATTCGGACTGCCTAACATGATTGGTGCTCATTTTCTAAAGGCGGGGTCAATCTAAAGTTAGGTATTCTACTCTGAAATCTGTGAAAGGGAATCTAGTATCATATAGAACAAAACGTCCAATGTAACACACATTGATTATGTCATTGAGAAAAATCGTCCAATGTAACCACATCTATGACATAAATGTCATTCCCATATACTTTGTGTGAAGCCGAAAAATCCTGGTTCTCTGGTTCGATTTTACGTCAACATTTGACAGCTGCTGCAAATATTTGCAAGCAAGCTCTATTCATGCGTGACACGTTGTTATAAAAAATATGTCGCGTGCGGCGGGAAGGATTTTTTTTTTAATCTTTGCTGTGCCATAGGCGCTGTTGACTGCGTTTATAAGGAATTGTCGTTGCCTAAAAATTAAGTGCATTATAATTGGATGTCATAGCGGCATTACTACACCAGTATTACAAGGAGGAGTCTCTTTTATATTTCTAATAATCACGCACTTATCTCACGACAACAAAACAAAATCTTCTCTGTATCTTAGATAGACTTCCCCCCCCCCCCTTTCTCCTCCCTTCAGTCCTGGTCATGTCCTTGAAACTGGTGCTGATGGGAAGGATGGTAACCAAAACTGAAAACCAGGAATTGGAACCTTTTTCGTTTGGTGTTGAGAATGTTAAGTTGCTTTACATAACACTGGAACAATTGATTTTAATCTGGACTGGAGAGCTTCGAACTTTCCTGGCACAACACTAGTAT